TGCCAAAATTTCGAAATGGTCGGACACCCATTGCGAGAGAAAGGAGACTATGCTGATTGGGGATTTAGGCCTTTCCGGAAAATGTCAGCACTGAAAAACTTTACCTTTTTTAGTTTTCATGCTTTATTTATATGCAAATTTTCTTACATTATGTCAGAGTCTATTGTTTCTTTAATTAGTTAATTATTCTGTTTTTAAATTTCTGTTGTTATCCAACGGTTAATTACGGTTAATTATTTCTGAAGATGTACATGTTGGAACAAACGAAACGTCAAGTTAAAGTTTTATTTCTTTCCAGAAATGCCTTATTATATTGTTACATTGTTTATGAAAGACAACATAACAAGCGTTCTCGCATTGCTCCCTAAGTACGCATGCTCAACACTTCTTCAACATGAACCACGCCAATAGCCCTTTGTTACGTGGCGGCCATTTTGTCTCAAGAGATTTAAAAAGCTTTATTTATGCCCGGCTAGCCTCGTAGAGAGAACGAGGCTAGCCGGGTATAAACAAAGCTTTTTAAATCTCTTGAGACAAAATGGCCGCCACGTGACAAAGGCTTATATCCAGCAATCTCAAGACCAAACAAACTAAGTGAATAAAGGATTTACTATTTAGCCATAAAGAGAACTTTTTCTTGCGGCGTTAAGGTGGGAAAACTTACTAACTAAAGGTAGCCAATCAGAACAAAGGATTCTCTTTATCTTGTACTGGTGTTTATGATACTGTTATCCGCTGGTGGATAGCTCAGATAGCGCTCGCTATCCACCTTATTTGAAAAGCTGGGGCTGGATCAAATTTCATTAAATTTCACGTCATCCTCCGAAGGAAGTTAGCTAAATACCCAGACGCTATACGTAAGCCGAGTCAGTTCAAATCGAAGAAAAGAAAAATTGGCGTGGCTGAACACAGTTTGATAGCAGGGTCGTGGGTGGTAACCACTCATTCGGCTGTTTGTTCAGTCGCACTTTGTAATAATACTTGTCGCACTTTGTAATAACCGCTTGTCGCACTTTGTAATAAACTTGAAATGGATGGTCGGAGGACAAGGAAAACAACAACAACAACAATGATAATAATAATAATAATAATAATAATAATAATAATAATAATGATGATAATAATAATAGAAATAATAATAACAATAATAACAATTTATTCATTCCAATTTCATGAAAAATTATCTTCAGACACATTTTACAGATGGTCTATGTCACATAATGTGGTTTTCAATGGGGCACTGTATAAAAACTAAAAACTACAGTACTGAAAATGACAAAATACTGATTAAAATAGATCAACTAAAAAATGTCACAGTAAGCGAACTTATTGGGATTTAAAATGTTTAAGTAATGAAATTTTAAAAGCCAGCTAAAGCATTATAAGGTAGACATCTCATGGTCTCCTGGAAGGGAATTCCAGTCTGTCAATGCACTATTAAAGGATCTGAGTAGATCCCAGTTTGTGTTTGATCTAATAGATCTAATAGTTTCCTTTGAGCGGATGTTATGGCTATGATAGTCTGAGCCTCGAGTAATCATACTGTTTCTTTCACTGTCATTAATAAAATTATGCATATAAGAACACCGTTGCATTAATCTTCTGGTTGATAGATTCATCCAGTTCAGATCTAGAAGTGCTTGAGTTGAAGAAGAATGCGTCGTTCGATCCAGAACTAGGTTAACTGCTTTATTTCTGAAGAACTTGGATAGAATCCATTAAAACTTTGTTATTTTTATCACCCCATACGATACTTGCATATTCAAGAATAGGAATGACCATTAATTGTTGACACATAGATCCTTCTTGCATAAACTGGGAGAAGTTGCTTGATTCGTTTTAACACACCTTAAAGTCTCTTTGCTATTTTACTTTGTAGTTGTTCAATGTGGTCATGGCAAGAAAGATGCTGGTTTATGATCACTCCAAGATACTTGAATTTGGTAACGTTCTCCAATTGATGATTGTTGGCTACAAGAGCTATGTCATTAAATTGACTTAGTTTGTTACGTCCTCCAATGACCAAAAGCTTCGACTTGGTAACGTTTAGTGTCAGCTTATTGTCATGTAACCAAGATGTAATAGCTGCCAAGTCTGCATTTAGCTTTGATTGCAAATTGGTTGGCGAGTTCTCATGACAATAAAATACCATGTCATCAGCAAACATCGTCATCTTTGAGTGCTGCAGTTCAGATTGAATGCCATTAATATACACCAAGAATAACAATGGTCCCAAGATGCTGCCCTGTGGTACTCCTATGGTGATTTTTGCTGGGGGAGACAATGCATTAACACACATCGATTGTTGAACTTGACCAGAGAGATATCAGCGGAACCATTCCAAGCTTTTCCCTGCTACTCCTAGTGACCTGAGTTTGTTGATAAGAAGCAGATGATCAACGGTGTCAAACGCCTTGCGAAGGTCCAGGAACACTGTTCCCGTCACGCATCCTTTGTCCATACTTTCTAGAACTTGATCTGTGAAGGCGATTAAGGCAGTGGAAGTTGAACGCTTTAGTCGGAAGCCAAACTGTGATTGTGATAATAATCTGTTTTCTTCCAAAAAGGAACTTAACTGAATATGTGCTGATCTGTATGATCTTGCTTATAGTTGGTAAGATTGAAATCGGTCGATAATTATCCTTTAATGACTTATCTCCATCTTTAAATAATGCAGTGACTTTTGCACACTTCCAGACCCCTGGAAACACTCCATCAGTGAAAGATTTATTGATCAAACCAGTTAGAATTGGGGCGATGACGTCAGAAGCATCCTTCAACAAGCCAGCACTTAATTAGCTTATCATGCAAGTCCAACAGCTTTGTTAGGTTTTAAGGATTTAAGGGAATTACGGACGAAGTTCACACTAACATTATCCAGGTGGAATTCAAAACGAAGGGTGCTAGAAGTAAAAACAGTCGAAACGTTTTGAAATGGTTTTGCCAATATTTTCCCCACGGACACAAATTACTGGTTCATGATCTTGGCGTCAGAGAGATTTTCGGTGTGCTCCTTCCCATTTTCAAAGATTGAAAAAACAGTCGACTTTTTAGTACCAGGCAGTACCTGTTTTATTGCGCGCCACATTTCCCAGGAATCACCTTAAAAGAAATTTTTCAAAAAAGACTAAAGGATTTCAAAAGCACCTTAGAGAGAGAGGATGTCCACAAAATTCTCTTTCTCTCTCTCGCTCTCTGAAATACACTTTGAAAAAAGAAAAAGGCACTTCAACAAGAATCTTCAAGAGGGAAAAACATTTTGCCCTTTGTCACGCAAAATCAACCATCAGTTCCTAGCCTTAAAAGTATTTTCATTAAACACTGGCGACTGATAGAGAACCAACTTCTAATTCTCTAAGACAGATCGACAAAGAACCTCCAATTATACCGCACAAACGAGGAAAGTCTCCAAAGGATATACTCGTTCTGTAAAAGCTTGACTCTGAGAATTAAAAGCCATAAACACGTTGGTGGAAGTCGTGATGTCAGGCTTGTCAACCCTTTGTAATATTCCTCGTTCTCCGTGCTGCTGGTAAAACTTTCAAAATGTCTAACTTGCTTCTAAAATCACCTTTCGCCTCAAGAACACCTGACTTTTACGGACAAGCCGATAATACGGATAACAGCTAAATTCCAACACAAAGTCCTATCATTACGAACTCTCGCTGTTATAAACACTATCTCATTGCGACATGGTCTCGAGGTCGTCCTGATAGGAAGAGTACGTTGTACTTCTCCACAAAGATTCTGAAGCCGGAAGGCCACAGTTGATGTGAGCACTTTCCTACGCCCCCACTTGAGAAATTGGTTCTGAAAACCGTTCAGTGAACATGGTGAATTATTATTATTATCATTATCATCATCATCGTCGTCATTATTGTTGTTGTTGTTGTTGTTGTTCTTGATGATAACACTTATTATTGGGTTTACTTGTCCTCCGACCATCCATTTCAAGTTTATTACAAAGTGCGACAGCTTATTTTATTACAAAGTGCGATGGTCTGTTATTACAAAGTGCGACAATCTTATTACAAAGTGCGACAGGTGAAAGTGCTACGATTATTACAAACTGCGATAGAACACCTTTTTTAGGCTCGTTGCATGCAGTTATGAAGTTCAAATTTAGCACGCACAAAATATATTTATGAGAACATTTAATAGGTTTCGCCAACATTGATGATTGAAAGCAAACATTACATTTTCAATTTCAGTATTATGTCCACGTAAAATCCAGTTATTAAATTTTCTCAGTTATGAATTTACACCCAGCTTGCAATGAGTGACTTAACCAAATGTGATAATCAGGTTTTAAATTTTTTAATTGAATCGGTAGCTTTCATGTACTTGATTACCTCTCAGATTCAGCCCAGGCGTTCTCTCTTGCCCTGTTGTCAGCGCGTAGTCTGGAAATTCGGTGACGTCACAGCTCACGGTAGAGTCCAGCTTTGACCGAGCCGAGAACGCATGGAGACCAGGCTGCCTCAGACACCTTTGATTTGATGCTTTCTTTGACAAAATGAGATTTGAACAAGATTTCTGCTAAATTTCGTCAAATTTGAATGACTACTTTAAGATATTGTCGTTTGTTTACATTGCCTGTGAAAATCAACAAAGTTGTTGCTAAAAACACATGCTCAACATTCGTACAAAAAGTGGAAGGAGGGGAGCGCAGGGCTCACCTGGCCCCGCCCCGTCGAACTTCCACCGCTAGTCACAATTTTGTATCCTCCATAACTTCCTGTTTGAAAGTGAACTTTAAATTATTGTGATCGGCTGCCATATTATTACTTCCTGTATTACTATTTTCCTGACTTCTAAAACAGAACAAATTCAAACCTTGCCTAAACTCAGGAATTCTTAAAGCGTACACCATTGGATTGATAAAAGAACTGGAAGAATATATAAAATAAGTGAAAAGGAAAATGTTTGAAGATATGTTTTGACCCGAAAAATCTTAAAAAACTAATAATAATTGCGGGGATCCAAGAACTCAAAGTACCAACAGATACTAATGACAGGGCTTTCGTTAAACGCTGGATTTGCATGTCTCTGTTTTGGTGACAAGAAACAGATTTTTGCTGGATCCTTCTCCAAATAACGATGTTGAGACCGCAGATAGTCACAATTAGTAACAAGCCGTATAAAGTAGCGAAAGCGTAAAAAGCTTCTGGACTCAAGCGGAAAAGCAATATATAAGTCGTAGAAAATAAGGTAGCCAATGTCCAAGCCATCAAAATAACAAGCTTGTATGCTCGCCTGGAGAGTGTTCGGTGGTTCAGCGGCCAAAAAATGGCGTAAAATCTTTCAGCAGATATCAAAGCAGCGGTAGTGAACGAGGCCATCGAGGAAACCGTAAAAATAATTTTAAGAAATGTTGGAAATTCTGAAAAATATAACCCACTGCCAGTCGCCGTTATTAAATAAACAAATAAAGGGAGACTTGCACCTCCCAACACCAGATCAGCAAACGCCATATTTATAACAAGATATAAGCTTTTCTTATTTCGCAGCTTCTTGTTAAATGTGAAGAGAACAATTGTGATCAAGTTTCCCAGGGCAATAACCAGGGGCACCTAACGACAATTTTCGGAAGAATATCTGTTCGGAAGACGATTTTAGATCTAGAATTTTCGGAACATTTGTTGTAAAATTTCTTGCTTGCCTGCTTCTCCTATGATTTTCGAACATCAAAAAAATGGTATAATTGCCTACTTTTAACGGATTTTTACCCTAAAAAGGTCACCTAGAATTTTCGGGAGCCTTTTTTCTGGCTGAAATTTTCGAAAAGGTAAGTTTTGATCCCTATAATTTTCGGATCACTAGGCTCTCAGCTAGGAAATCCGGACAGATGAAAAATTTTTAGGGGATAAAAATATGCCTATATCTACCGTTTAAATACTAAAATACGTTTAACAGTGCTATGTTTAAGTGGTTTTGAACTATATTCTCGTTGGGTGCCCCTGAATAACTACAGCTTCTGACGCAAGAGCACAGCTCCAAGCGATGACTTGTGCATCAGAAAGCATTTCGTCCATGGCTGAAAAGGAATTATTGAGTGACGTAGTTAAAAATGACATATTCTTCGTTATTGTTCCTGCCATTACTTTAATTTCTAGAAATGTTACTTTGAAGGTGTACGAGAAACAGCGGAGACGTTTATTTACAACTGCCGGGCCACAAAAGCAAGCGTTGTTATACAGTATGTTGCCCAGTATCCGGACGGTACCAGTACCCGGACATTTAAAACAAAAACTCAATTTTTGAGGCGCCCTTTTCAGTTATCGGTAAACGAAGTACTTCGAATGATAGCTGAACACTTCAGCTTTAAGATGAGGGTTTTGGCGAGGTGAAAGCTTGCGAAACAGTTGCAGAAGACGCCGTTTCGTTCAGGTGAATAAACATTTCATGGCTAATATTTACGCTGTTCACTGCGCATTAAAATTAGTGCTGCTCAGAAAAAAAGGGTAGGTAATATGTGATATTTTCAAAGAAACGGTTTTATATTTAAATACTTAAAGAAAACAGGTTCTCAGAAAGTTTATTAATTCTTCTTGAAATTCGATTTGTTTGGAATAACGGAGCCCAGAAACATTCACTAAGTATTGATATCAGGTGCCTAGTATCCGGACAGTTTTTTCTTTGCTGTACAGAATCTATGAATTAGCTGTGTACATTATCTGGATAAAATTTATTTCATATCTATAAATTTTCTTCACCCATTCGGAGACGTCTTTATTTCGTGTGCGCCGCTTGTTTCTTGTGACTGCATTTTCTATATGTAACCGAAAGCGTCGGAGTTGAACCTGGAATTCTCATACTTTCCCCAGTTCTGACTACTAGAATGCGGTTGCAAAGGTCTGAAAATGTCACAAAGGGCTTGAGAGATGTGAAAGGAGGAGGAATTAGTGCTAGAAAAGCAGGCTTATAGTGGGGTCTGTAGGGTTGAGCATGAAGAAATCAACACTGCATCAACTGCAGGTCAGACTAAATAGGAGAGTGACCTTTGACCGTCGCTTTGAGGTCCCTTCCCCAAGCTTTTTTTTTCTTTAATAAAAAATGAAGGAAAAAAGTCGTTTGCAGATTGGTTAATTGGGCTAGCAAACTGTAGCTTTGGCATGTCCATGGATGCCTTCACTAAATCAGTGAAAAAGTTCCTAGACGGGGAAGTAAGAATTATGTCATTTAACAACCGCTCTCGTTCCCCACCATACCCCAGTTATTTGTTATGTTTTATTTCCCGATGCTAGGTTATATTTTTGGAATCGATTGCCAGACTACTTTGCAAGTGCAAGAGAAGCTTATAAGTCGCTCGCCTGTCGAAATTTATGTACAATTACGTTGTTATTGTTGCGTCCAGATACTGGGCCAGCTGTCCGAATACTGGGCAACATAGGAGCTCTGCAAAAATATTAATTTCGCGATGGAAACAAAGGCAAAAAAGTTAAACTGCCTTTTGTTATATTAAGGACTAAATAGATTTTCTCTGGGCCAAATTTCAGAACTCTTGCGACTAACAAAGGAAAGTTGTTGCAATGTTAAACTGAAGTGTCCGGATACTGGGCAACATACTGTAAGTCTTATAAATGCAATTGAGTTTGTTTTTCAGTCGAAACGAAAATCCATTATTGCTGATTGAGATTACACCGTATTGATACTTTTAACCATCTGTTTGCTAAGTACACTGCTAAGAGAATTGAAAAAAAAAATGATAGCTCTGTCTATGGTCAAATACAGAACTCAGTTGCACCACGTGGTCATTCAAAAAAATTTTCGTCCAACAATTTGCTTAATTAATCTTTACACCCTTCAAATCTAACGAAGCAGAAGGGTTTTAAATAAGTGGTCACACGTAAAATGTTCCTTACCACAACAAAGAAAAATTAACCGAATGCAACTATTGATTTTTTCAGGAAATGTACCTACATTGAGTTGCAAACTAAGGATCTCGACGGAAAATGCTATTAGTATATTTAAGATCTGACGGCAAGCGGTTTAATCAGCCACAAGTAAGTATAAACTAATACCAGCCATGTTTTTTTCGGTTTGTGCCTTGTTTAAACAACAGTTTTATTTTGGCTGTTTGAATATGCAACAGCCTCACGCTAGTGCAATCTGTGGCCTGTTGAAAGTTCTAATACGTCGAACGAAACAGCTTCCTACGCCTGCTACCTTGTTCTGTTGAGTTCTATAGTATGTTACGTTATGATTATTTAATTTTGTTGCCAAGTAAGCTTATCTTGATTGCTTACACTCTTGATTGCTAAAACTGATTTCAAGTATTTGACGGACACCAGTACGAGCGTTCAAATAAGTTGTACTAAAACTAATTTGCCCAACTTTGTTTTGTTTCCTTTCTCCAAACAGGCTTTCAAACCCAGGAGGTCTACTGGCAGGATATTGTCAGTAACTAACTGCTTAGAATTGAAAGTGCCAGGGGTGAAGCTAAACACTTTCCAGGGGTACGTTTAGTTAGTTGTCAAATCAACCCTACCACATTTTCACGCGAGTGACTTGATTTAATTTTTTATTTTTCGGGCAGCAGTTAGGGCCTTAATTTGCGCGTGGCGAAATTGGGGAGAAACACTTCATTTTGTTTTGAAAATTATCTAAAAGAAGTTAAGATGAGTAAAGGTGTTAGTGCCCTGCTTTTCTTTATTGGTAGCCTCTGCTTATCATTCTATTATCTGAGTCTTGAATCTGTTCTCGGGATTTCCACACAAAACCGAAGGTTTGCAGCTGTGTTGATACTACTTTATACAATACAACGTGTACGTGACTCTTTCAGAGAGCTTTTGGTGCCTGTGCTTCAACCGAAATCGCAAGTGGTTTGAAATGGTCACTTAGCTCATAGAGTAAGCAGTTTCTCGGGATAAAACTTCAACTGTTGGTCACAATTTTGTGTCCTGACCTCCATGTACAATTTTCTGTTCGAAAGTGAGTTGGAAATGATTGTGGTCGGCTGTGACCATATTAAATCTTTCCATATTTCCTTCGCTGTCCATCAATGCGAGTCTTCTAAAACAGCATACATTAGGCAAAGCTTGTTTAAACTCAGGAATTCTTATTGCGTACACCACTGGATTGATAAACGAGCTGGAAAGATACATAAACAAAGTTAGCAGCAAAATGTGGACATGTATTTTGTATGCAAAGGAGCCTATTATTAAATTGTAAATAGATATTGGGATCCACGAAATCAAAGTAAAAACAGATACATATAACAATGCTTTTGTTAGGCGCTGCTGTTGAAAGGCTCTGTTTTGTTGATGAGAAGGAGTTTTCTGCTTATACTTTCTCCAAATACCGATGTTGAGGCCGCAGATAGTCAGGGCTAGAAATAAGACGTATAAACACAGGAAACTATATAACGCCATTGGGCTCCAAAAAAGTAAGACGTAAACCGTGGAAAACAGGATAGCCAACGTCCACACAAGCAAAATAACAAGCCTGTATGCTCGCGTAGAAAGTGTTCGGTGCTTTAATGGCCAATAAATGGCGTAAAATCTCTCAGCAGATATCAAAGCACCGGTAATAGACGAGGCCAGTGACAAAAACGTGAGGATGATTTTGCGGAAAAAAGATTTTTCATATGATGACTGGTTTTCAGGATTCACCAGGGAAAAAATAAAAGAAGGAAGATAGATAACTCCCAACATCAGATCAGCAAACGCCATATTCATAACAAGATATAAACTTTTCTTTTTGCGAAGCTTCTTGTTAAATGCAAAGACTGCAATTGCGAGCATATTCCCCATGACGACAGCAACAGCTTGCGCCGAAAAAGCAAAACTCCAAGCGATGATTTGTGCATTCGGAAAGAGTTTCGCCCTTGATGAAAATGAAGAAGAAGAGGTGCTAGCTGATACATTCGTCATCGCAAAGTTTACTGCAAACAGTCAGCTATCTTCAATAATATGTGAAGAAACAGAGTCCTGTATTAACGACTTTAATCCGGTCAGCACCAAGTGTTACTGTCACGTTAATTGCTTTGTTTTTTTTTTTATTATTTGAAGCTAAAATCCATTATTGTTGACTGAACAGGATTGTTGATTGAATAGGCTAAACGTTCGTTTTCTACATAATGAAAGATTTAACCCCTCTGATGCACAGTCCATTTGCTTAGTGGTGTCACCTGCAAAGCAGTTTCGAAAACCAAACTATATAAGTCGCCACACCTGTTCCATCTAGAGAGCATTGCATAAGAATATTCACCCTTTCAGGGAAAACGAGGAATATATTTTTTTTTGATATAATATGTATAACTTGAGAAAAAGCCTGAATTCGGCTAATATATTGCTGTAAACTCAATAAAAGGCCAACCTAAGTTTTCAACGCTGAGATTTAAACGAACTGAAACTCCCTCAATGAATAGCATCGTCGCGACAATTTTGATTCAACGAAATTATCATCGAGGAAGGGGCTATAGTTCTAGCCAAACCTTATAATTAAGGAAACTCATGCTGTTTTTAAACTGCAAAGCCAACGGAAGCAGCGGGACACTTGTACATGTTCTGAGAAGGAATCCATCAGGAAATTGAGTTATTTTAACTTTCATCGGACAAAACCTTTGTACCAAAATAATTTTAAGAATATTGCATTCTTGTTCACATTTTTTTAGGGTTATAGATGTAATTATAGTTACTGTAATAACACCAAACAAAATTTCTGATGGGAGCCCCAGAAAACAAATCGGGGGCAGCCAACGAGAATATAGATTCAACGAAAAAGCTACACTGTAATTTTTGGGGAGTTATTATAACTCCAAAAATGGAGTAAAAATTTTAGGTACAGGATAACCCCTTTTTTGGGGTTATTTTAACTCCTAATTTAACTCCGAATTTGGGGTCATTTTTACTCCTGAAAAAGAGTTCTTTTTACTCCCAGTCTTGGAGTTAACATTACTCCGAAATGGGGTTACTTGTACTCCTTACAGGGGTTGTTTTTACTCTTTTTGGAGTTAATTTAACTCTGAAAGTGGAGTAAAAATTTTAGGTACAGGATAACTCCTTTTTTGGGGTTATTTTAACTCCTCAATATCTGGGGTCACTTTTACTCCTGAAAAAGAGTTCTTTAAACTCCTTTTTGGAGTTAAAATAACTCCACGAAAAATAACTCCACTGTAAGGAGTTAAATTAGCCCCACTAGAGGAGTTATTATAACTCCCTGAAAATTACAGTGTATCCTTGATGTAAAGACACATTTTAACTACACACAGAAACCTTCCAGCAGCACACATTTTGCCCCCTCTCACCCACTGCCGGATCTGTCAAAGGAGAGGCCTTTAGCCTTAGCAACGTTTGAGGAAAGTATTTCAAATTTCTATAAAAAGCCTGACGGACAAAGGCTACCAACACAATTTGAAAGAAAAATTGCTATCAGAAATAAATAAAACTCACAGAAGCTGGAAGTTCGCCCTCTTGAAACAAAACAGCAAGGAGGAAAAAGAAAATTAATGTTGCCTGTTGTGACACAATGCCAACCCTTAGTGTCTCCTATAAAAGAAGCTTTAATGGAAAAGTGGAACCTCATAAAAAAAAAACCAACCACTACGTTGCCAAATTTTTAAAGAACCACCCATTATTTCCTACAAGAAAGGAAAATCATGGCAAAGGACGTGCTCGTTAGAGCCAAAATATTAAAGGTCAGCGGCACCCCCTTGCAGTTTTTCACCAAAAATAATTTACGTATCCAAAAGGCTAGATTTGGGCGTTTTCCTCCGTGTCCAATTAACCTCCCTTCACTTCTTTTTATAGTGCCCTATAATCAACAGGGAAATCAAGTCAAGTTCGCATTTGCAATAAAAGCTTTGGTGATTTTATATCGGTACTATATTGGAAAACAAAGGTGAAATAGACGATCAATCAAATAAGGCATCAGTTTTACACGTTTTATAGTCTTGAGTGAAATACATAACAAATATCAATAATTGACATGCACTTTTACTTATTATCTGAGATTTACCGACAACCGACAAAGATTGAAAATTTCAATAGCCTGCGTAGCAGGTGCTTGGAAGTAGTGGGCGCCCACTACTTCCAAGCGCCTGCTACGCAGGCTATTAAAATTTTAACCGACTATCCACAAAGTAACTGAATTTTAACGGACGATAAACAGTTGGACGCCACCATTCAGACCCTCTTTTAAGTGCTATCTTAGTTTTGAAGAAAGAAGTAAAAACAGATGTTCATTTCCAGAACAAAATATACAGTTAAAAGTAAGACACAGTTAAATGCGTTGAAGTAACCATCAAATTTCGGCAGAGTTCTGGCCCTAAAATATGAGTATACTTATACTGTAAGGGATCTAATCAGCCAGAATATCTAAAATGAATTATGACGTGTCTTTACTTGATATTTACATGTTGGATACATATTTTATTAGGTAAGGTTATGAAGATCTGCTGTGCAACAGCTCGAGCCTGGAGTACGCTGTGCTGATGGGAACAAAAGAGAACAAAACAACTCCCTACCGCTGCCACTCCTCGCTCTTCACAAAAGCGCCACTGGAACTGACAAGGATTTCTATTGCTTTTTGAAGGACAAACAACCGTTCATATCTTGATGAATCTTCAAATAAGGACGTAATGAGCGTTGGAAACATTCTGAATGAACGAGAAAACAATTACTACATTTGGCTGTCGAATGATTTGAGAGTCATGACGACTGCCCTTGTATGTGAACATAACGTTAGAGAGATTTACAGTGATCTTATGATAAGTCCTGAACTAGTCCTGGGACTCGTCTCGTCAAAAATCATAAATCCCAGCCTACAACGAATGAGTCCCAAGTCAAAACACAACGAGTCCTTAATTGAAAATGCTTGCAGAGCCTTTATGTAACCAGACAGGTAATCTGAAGATAGGCTCCAAAATTCTGTATTACAGTATGCTGAAATTAATATATAGTCCTTCCATTTTAAAGCACAACAAAGGCTAAAAGAAATATATACGCATCGTTAAACAACAGTCATAATAACTGCCACAGAAATCACACGAACAGGATATTCCACAAAAGCGCATCTTCATATCGATCAAACGATCTTTGCGTCCTACGGGACGCACATCATGAATCATTTTTCATCTTTTTCAGGGACGCAGGATGCATCAAGGTAACAAGATCACTGGATTTAGAACGTGTTTACGGTAAACGCAAGAGCCAGTTTGTACCACGTGACCAAGTTTTCCCTTATCTCGTCTTTTGCTTTTATTATTATTATTATCATTATTATTATTTATTATTTATTTTATTTTTTTGCTTTTTTGCTTTTTATTATTGCTACAGCCCATTACTGGCCGTCTCGTGGGGACAAAAAATCATGCCGCCATGCTGTTTAAAAGTAGATTCACAGGAATGAAAAAATATTCTATACACTTGGTCACGAGCCTATCAAATTTTGATGGGCTCCTGACTTGGTCGCGCCTACCTATAGAACTTGACTTCACCAGCTACCCTCTGAGTAAAAATTTAATAGTACAAACAATCACTCAAGTTTAGCTTGATTTAGGTTTGGGTTTCTTTATTGATAAAATCAAGAAAAATATTTTGTTTGTGCTGCATCATTTAACCACTTTTTATATCAGCCGTACTGGTACAAAGTGAACGTAACTTACGGTTGGTTCGGAACCTCTGAGTTAGCCTACGTGGCAGGAGTTAGTGGGATAAGGGAAGAGCTAGCCTGCGGAGTCGGCGCTTGGAAGTAACGGGGCAAGAAAGAACGGGGCGCGCGAGAGAGACACGCATGTCTCCCTCGCGCACGCCGTTTTTTCTTGCACCCATTTCTTCCAAGGGTCTGCTACGCAGGGTAGGAAAGAGCGGATTTCGTGCGCGCTAGATGCGCAATGGCCTTGTGAGGAAGAAGGGAATAAAAGGTAAAGGGTTCCTCTCCTTCCTTCACCCCGGAACTTCCCCCTCCTCTTCTCTTTCCAACGCCTCCAACGCAGGCTACCCGTTTAGTGCTCCCTATAATGACCTGTACGGGGAGGTTCTGCCGAAAAGGGTGCCTGTTTAGGAAGGCTAAAGGAGGGTGGGATCCCAAGAGTTGAAGTATATAACAGGGTAGGGAAATCTTTCATCAAGGTATTTTTAAATGAAAGGACAGCCTCTGTATCAAAAAGAGGTTAAGTGCCCAGCCTTTGATATGGAAATGATTGTTTCTTCTCATGCAAATAAAACTCATTTTCACAGGAAAGGTTGTGCACTTGGGCTCATTTCGAAAGTGAGGGTTTTTAGAACTCGAAGTGGCCTATTGAAATATTTCAAACAGATGCACCTTAATATGGCTGAACTATTTTAATTTCATGATTAAATGCTACATAACACTGATAAGAAGACTTGTTTAGCAATTCATTCTTCTTAAGTACAGGTATGTGAAAGGGGTTCTTTTTTTAATGAAAGGCTTATCGCGAGGCAGAGCTGCCTTTCCCTCCCCTCCCCCAAATAACACTTTGTTAGGTACCCCCTCCCCAGGGGTTTGGAAGTGCCAACGAGGGATATGTCAATGATTTAAACTTTGCAGAAATTTTACCTTACTGCAATGGTCCATCTCATTAAAACCAAAAACACAGTAATAAATAATCACCTCTTTTTTAAAATAAAAACTGAAAACTGAATTTACTATGCAAAAAAAAATTCCAGAAAATAAAAAAATCTCAAAAATAGCTAAAACTGCATGGCAACCATAAACTCTTCTTAACTCCTCTTAATGAACTGATTATTGTTCTGGTAGTCCATGGACTTGAAAGTGAGAAATGTAAGCACATACAAATTGAGCACGGCACAAAATGTTGTGTATAGCATGCATTCCCATTGCCACTGCTTTCAGGTTTGGGCCTGTACTTTCTAGCCTGTACCACAGATGAAACTAAACCCTGGTTAAGTCTGTCTACACAAACAGAGCCAAAATCCTTGCTCTGGGTCCCCAGCAGTGTACCCAGATTGAGTACTGGCCATGATTGGCCTGTTTAAAATGCCAAGTTGTTGATTTGCCAATCAAGATGAAAAGAATTTCAAAACATTCTTCCGGTAAATCATTGAGTCCCTTGAAAGCCCAGAACAAGGATATTGGTGCAGCTTCGCAGACATTACAAATTGAGGTTCAATATTTATGTCTGCAATGCAGGCTAGTACTTTCTTGCCAAAAAAATTCAAGACAGGACTGTAAAAGGATTAAAACTGGCACATGCACAAAATAACCTTCTTCAAGTTTCATCAAATCATTTTGATTAGCCGTAAGAAATCCTAACTTATGATTACGCTAAACAGTACCGCTAAAAATTATTTCTAACCATTTCTATAAAAAAGATAATTTATAATATTTGGAGGTTAAATTAACATCTAGCTGTCAGATGAACAATTATGCCTGATGCTGACCAATAAATTAAATTATATTAATAACAAATTTCTAAAAGTAGTTTTTAAAAAAAACCAGGGGAATTGAAGGTTACACCATACATGCAAGATTGTCCAAGCTCCAAAATATATGTGCTTAGCATATTATACTGTCCTAACGAATTCTTTCAAAAATTTATATCTAGGAAGGTTTCAATTTCATGTTTGGACTCCAGACTGGAATAGCTCCTGCTATTGAGGAGGTCAATCCAAGCAAACCAGCCAGGCCAACATTCAGCTCAATCACCCCCATAACATTGTACGGCAACAGGAAATCAGCAAGATTCTTTAAGGTATCTAGCAACACTTGTGGGCGTGACATAAGCCGTGCAGTGACAGAACTTCCTTGACTATAGCTTTCCTCGCCATCATGCTTCTTTACTGGAACAAAGACTAGGTTCAGGATGTCATAAAGGTTTCGCAGAAGACCAAAGGCAAGAGCTAATGCCCAGAATTTGGCCTGAAACTTGGACCATTCCTTAGGATTAGACTTGTAAAGTCCTAATCTTGCTGCCCAAGTCACATGATCAATGATATAATAGATAGTGTATGTGATGCGGCGGCATATGATGAGCACTTTCAGGACGGTGTCGTGATGGATGTCTCTTGCTCGCATGGCTCCCATTATCATGTCCAAGCTCTTTCCCAACCTAAAAACTAAATTTGTAAGTATATCAGATGTGAGAAAAGGAAAATAAAAAATCCCTTATACTGAACACGATATATCACACATATATTTCAATACAGGTTGCTATTAAGTAATTGGCAATTGCATGGTCATTGGAAATCGAGCACTGGGCATGGGCATACAGAACTTATTGCAATGATTTGCTTGAGTGACCACCAAACAATAGCTTCGGCCCAGCCAGTAGGTAATTCCCACTGCCCAAAGCAATTACCTTCATTGAATCAGCGATAATTATTATTAAGTAGTGTAGTGTTTATATGCCTCATTTGAATAGATATTACTCAATTAACGTCATAAATACATGCACAAAATTAGTGCACTGTACAGATCAGTAAAAGAAAGATACCCGGTAAGCCCTTTTCTAATAACCCTCTTTCAACCTCTTTTGCCTAATCTTTAAAAATTTATAATCATCCAGAAAAAGTGTTAGATGTTTAAAAGCCCAGCAAATCAGTCTGACTCCCCAATGTTAGTTACTTCCAACTAAAATTTAATTTGACAGAAATGTGACGGTGAATTTTAAGCCTGGTAAATACCTGAGAAAGATTTGATGTTGCAAGAGCAAGACTTGACTTGATTTAAAGGTGATTGATAACCCCGGTTACATTTATTTTTGGATTCCAAAGTAAACAATTCCATATATTTGCTGACTACTCATCTTTTTCTTCCTAAAGAGGCCACCTCCTTCATTATAGAAGATTCTTGCGGGCAAATGTGGCTTGGAGTATGAATACAGTAATTGAACACCACAAGTAAATTTTACTTACGTTTTCTTGAGGTGCTGGCATGTTTATCAAGAGTCTTAGCTTTGTTTACAAGATCTGCTCCTGCACCAGCCTGGGCTAGTAGATAACTTGATAATCTGGACGAATACTGGATGATCCTGGTAAAACAGTAAACTGTGTCATCAATATAATGCTTTGGCCATAAAGTATGTTAAATTTTAAACTTTACGTCATCCACTCTATAAACAAAATCCCTTTCCTCTAATGGGTTGTTCTTGAAAATATCCATACTCCCCCATGAAGGCATTTTTGGCTTCATTACTCTCCCCACCCCTCTAAAAATTCATCCCCCCTCTTGCATTGTAATTACATTTATCTCACAATTCCCTTCTCTATCATCTGGGGGGTAGAAGAGTTTATGATATTGGCCTCAGTGAAGTCATACCATTTTAATGTATGATTTACAGTCAAACTTTTGTATTAAAAATATTGGCACATTATAAATAAACAACTCCTTTAAATAATTTGCATACAGTTTGCTGATTAACTTTGAGGCATATAATTCGTGTGACGTTAGTCTGAGATTGCATGACAAATCACACGCCCCCTAGGAAGTTGCAACGACGTAAATGAAGAACACGCTCCAGCCCGTGAAAAGACGGTCTGATACGGAGATGTCCCGAAACTAAACGTAGCAAGTATTTGCTTTTGCGTATGCTACAAGTTAACGAAATGAAATGGCAAGTACCAGAGAGCAATGGTTAATTGCATCACATCGTTACTAATGTTTTAAAATGCTGTCCCTGTAACCTTATATGATCGATTGAGAAATGTAACAAAATTAAACTTTCTTGGTAACGAGTGAAGAAAATACCTGATCAGAGATTTATACACCATGTAACAACAAGTGAAGACCGTGATGTTAACAGTAGGACTTAACTTATTTAGCTTCAATTGTTTAGTTGTTTGGTAGATCAAAATTGACCGAAAAATGTATGGAGAGGTTTTCGACCAAGATTGTGATATGAATTTGTAGGAACAAAATCTCAACTTGAAATCAACCTGACTCTCATATTCAGAACAGATATTTTTAAAGAAGGAAGATCGTTCAAATGATGTGTGTAAGTTTTAAAGCATGCACGCACATGCGACAAGATTGAAGCCACGTAAACAATGTTTTTAAAAAAGAGGACAATCGTCAAATAACTCGACCCTTACCTGCAAAGTTTATCTCTTCCTAAAGTCTGCTGATTGTACTTTACGACTGCTGCGACTACGTCCATTTTCGGAGCGGGAAATTCTGTACAGTTTATTACACTGTGTAACTAAAAAGATTCCAACAGAAGCAACCAAAGGAAATTCGTAGAAATGGTAACTCGCTTTTCGCGTGGACAAACTTTGACCCTTACTGTAGGACTGGGCCCAGGACAAATTAATCCGCGAGAAACTGAGTCCAAGTGCTCAGTTGTCAAGGAAAACCAAAATGGCGGCAAAACAACAGCTTCTAAGATCTCGCATTTCTCGCTAAACTACTCGCTGGCTTTGAATATTTGAAAATGCGTCTTAAAAAACCCAAAAGACCAACAACTCCTCCGTCAGATGATGAAGGAGATGGCAATTTTGTGGCAGACCCAGACCAAATTTTCGACGATCTACCTCAGCCTTTTCGACTTGTTGACAAGACTGTGAGGAAGATTTTTGACCATGCCTGGGAAATTATTGAGAGTATCGAAGACCGGAAGGCTTTAAGACGCTCCAAAGCTGTTTTACCGTTGTTTGACCTTGCAAAACAGTTGTCAGACTTCAGCAGGACCTCATGTATTTGCACTGTAGCAGATAGGAGTTATTTGTTCTTAAGCTGTGGAAGTGGACTTACAGTTGTGGACGGCTTGTTAGGAACGACTGTAGCTTGTCTTGAAGAGCCAGGAAGTGATATCTCACAGATATCAGCTTGTTGTTTTCAGGAAGGATATTATCTCATTTCTACTCTGGACAGCGTTGGTATGTATCACAAGGCTGTGCTCTAATAAGAAAAATTAAAGGGATCCCATGCAATGCTCTGAACCTGTAAAATCTAGGGTGCCAAGCAGGTGATTTGTACGAAATTAGTTAATGGTTATTGGATGAGGTTGAGCAAAATATTGTGGTTTGTCAGTGGTGAGCAGATCAATCATTCGGCTTCGGGAAATAATTGATCTGCGAGACACTGACAAATCATGATATTTTGCAATAACTAAGTTCAATAATGTTGTTTTATCCTTCAGTCACCGAGTTTGTTTTTTGATAAATATTTTCGCGAAGCTGCCATTTCCATGCAAGAGTGATCACAAGAAGAAGAAAAGTGCGGTTTCATTTACACAGTTGGACGACATTGCGCATGAGCAGACCATTATTTGTAGGCACTTAATTGCAGGTCACGTGGTGGGATCTCAGCCAATGAGAAGGAAGAAAAATTTGCGTCAAATGATAATAAGATTTTCTAGTCACCCAAGAGCAAAAGTTAGGCACAAGGGGCCACTGGGCTCTGCTAGTGCCAGTCCTGGTATCATGTATAGTAATACTTCATACTGCCTGACTTGGGATAGCCTAAGAAAGCAGCTGACATTTTGTGATGCCATTGCTGGTTTCCTCTGAAAGGACATCTAAGCAACAAATTCAAAAATTCCTCACCGATGATGTGTCACTTCCTAGATTTGGGTAGTGCTTTTGATTGGTTGATGCAAACTTCCCTTGTGGTATGGCCAATAAGAAGCACTACCCAGATCTGGGTATTGAGATTATCATCAGTATGGAAATTCTGCACTAATTCTCTAGATATCATATTGCAGAGAAAACCAGTGGTGACATCTCTAAAATAATGCTGGCTGTTTTCCCAGGGTAGACATTGGATTTTCAATAATCTCTCTAGAAGGGGGCAAGGGGTTAAAAAATCTGGATGAAATCAGATCTAGTATTATTCACAATATACAGGACTTCCAAACACTCATCTCATCTGCAAGTGTGACACAAATCAAACGGTGTTGTGCAAAGAAGAATGAAGGCACTGGACTAGTTCCCATCCATTCCAGGTTTTGTCAACTAGAAGATTGACCACTCACCTTTGTTTCCTTCAGAGTATGAAAAGTATGAAAGGGCCCCATACCTGAAGTTTTAAATATGCCGCTCTTGGTCAGAGTTCTTATGTTCCAAAATAATGGATAAATATGAGTACAATGTAACCCCTACCTCCTAAAAAGTCTGTAGAAACTAACAGAGCAGTCTTTGCTTTCTGGCATCATTTATTTTGTAGTAGCCTGTCTCAGGCTCCAAGAAAGTAAAGTGTGGAGATCACTGATGCGCTGCCACTGTCCCCTTTTCCTGATCATGTGCATTCTATTTTTCCTTGACCTTGTTTTTGCAATGTCCGCACTATTTGAGAGCCTGGAACAGGCTACATTTGTAGATAGAGTTGACCACAATAATAATTATATTTGCACCAACTGGTTACATTTTTTGAGTATGCCTTGGTTTCATTTTCTCCTTTATGGTTAAAACTAATTTTATTTTCCTTTGCTTTCGGCTTTGACATCATATTACTGTTTAACAAAAGAGAAACGAAGAGAAATAAAATTTAAACCAAGGTTAAAATGCACAATCCTGCTGTTTGCATATTTTTTTCTTACGTTTAGGATGTGCTAAGTTATTTTGCTTTTCTGGTGATAAAGTTGTGCTTGTAAGAGTCTTCAATGAACAGGTGAGATTTGTGCATGCGTATTTTATATTGCTTAAGTCTTCTAAAAATTACAGGCAAAAACAAAGCTTGTAGTATGAAGGCAATGTTATGTTTAAAAGTTTTGATTACACTTTCGGCTTTTATTAATTTTAGTCTTTAATCCTTTAAGCCCTAAGATCCACATGTAAATTCTCCAGACTGATCTTCATACTGTCTTTCAAGAATAGTTGAGAGAATTTGGTTTAAGATCAAAGTATTCTCCCTTTGGTAATCAATTTAGTAATTCTCATAACCTTTACTCTTGATGATCTGCTGATGTTGTTAGGAGAAAATTGATGTTGGTCACCCTTGGGACCTAAATGGTTAAAACCCTCAAAGGGGATGCGTTCATCTTGAGTAAAATGGCTTTACCCAAATATTCAGAACAACGGTTTAGGCAGCTTGCAAAGAAAGTCATGTCTGATAGCCTGGGGCTAGTGGATTTTGCTATTGGGCTAGTGGTTTTTGTTCTTATCTTGCTCAACAGGCAAGTGCTGTTTTATGGGGAAATGCAAATTACAGAAGGATTGTAATCAATCCTGCTCATCAAAAAGGGTTTTGGGTCTAGTTGAAATGACTTGTGGGCTAGTACATGCTAGCTACGGCTTGCCCAAATGGCAGGCTGTAAAACTGACTTTCTTTTCACCCTGTTAGGGTTGTCTTATCCTGTGTGCTAAAAAGGTTTGTGGTAGCAAAAAGTGATAAATTAACATCATCATCACTTCGAAATATAGCTCCCTACAGATTATACTGTGTTGATGCAGACATATTTCTACCCATACGTTTTTTTCTAATGAAGCTGTCATATATAAGCCTTTATTCATTCATTTACAATTAGGCCACTCAGATTATTTTAAATTTGGGTAAGTGTTAAATAAGTATAATTCTAGGGCTGAATTTTGCAAGTCTAGTTACATTTAGCTCTATTCATAGGTAAATATTTATGCAGGGCATAAAAATATGTGCTGTCAGGTTACTTACCCTGAATTGCCTTTTATGCTGATTATTCTTCAGTTGATTATTCAAGGGATTAGCAGTAGCTTAAGTAAATTTCCACGTAAATTAAGTCATTAACAGCTATCTTCAACTGTAGGAGGGTTCAAGCAAACAGTCTCAAGCAACTTTTGTCCAGATAAGTGAAGATGGTGGATATATTGGGGTTGGATGGGAAGGTACTGCTACTCTCTTTGCTTTGTAAATTGAAAAGTTAAAGGTAAAGGTTCACTATTAGCCTTATTGCCCATATTGCTGGAGCTTATACAGCTGTATCCTGGTTTCTGTAGTATAAAGTACCAAGGGGAGTTACTACTGCCCACTGGATGGGATACCAGAACCCTGCAGGGTACCCCTCAGTAGTTTGTTGCCTGTATTTCATTTATGCACCTGGGTGAAGAGAGACATAGTGAAGACAATTAGTTGAGACACTTTGCCCTTAAGGGCTTTTCTGATGTTCTACTGACTTCAAAAGGGGAAAATATAGCTGTCCCTCCCCCATCCTCCCCATGCAATGTTGTGCTGCTGTTTGAGCTACCTGCAGGTAGAAAACAACAAACACCCCAACTTTGAATGGAGGGAAGGGGGAGGGGTGTGGACTCTTTTGTTAAGTTATCCTATTTGAGCACAATGTCTCAACAATTTTGTCACTGATTGTTGTCTAAGGAGACAATGTGATTGGAAGGCTTGAGCCGGGACCCTCAGATCCTCAGTCAAACATAGCAACCTTTGGTAACTGTGTCTTTATTGGAAATCTTGGCATATGTGCCAGTCAATTTCAACTTAGATCTCACTCATTTTTTTGCAGTCCCCTTAAAAGAAAGTTGGTTGGAAATATACAAAGTTCCTAAAGATACCTGGATTAAAGAAATGGAAGCAGCGTTAACATCCTTTTCTTCTTCCAGGAAACCAACAATGGAATCTGCAGCTCTAGTGAGTTAAATTGAGTTACTATTGATTTTATCATGATAGATTTCTTTGTCTGTTGATAAAAGGGGAGTAAAAGACCTCAGGAATTGCTACTTTAAATTACCATAAGTTAGAATGCCAAACATATTACATATATTTTTCATTTGTTCATTCAATTTTTTTTACTACAATAACTAATTTACAGGAAGCTCATCTGGAGGACTCAGTTAACACAGATCAGCTGCAGAAACCCTTAGAAACCCAAGCCACAGCTGATGCAACTGTAAGTTCGTGATCAACACAGAAAAAAAACTTTAAATCAAACAGAAAGTGCCTTAAAAGGGGTATAGAACTATAAGTTTCTTACTAGACTATAGTACAGGCATAGAATTAAAACTTGCAAAAGTTGTTCAATCCATGACCAATCCATCCCATCTGTAGTGACAGACAACCGGAAACTATTTCAATCCCTAAGTATGGTCTTATCTAACACAACTGGACCAATTCAATTGCAATTCAACAGATGCAAAGATTAGTATTAGCCCTTTTTTTTAAAAAAAAGATACCAACTAGCATGACATGTCATGTAGCCCCTTGAAGTCCTGACCTTTGGATTTGCATTGTTCTTTGTTTTAAAAGTCTCCACCAGGATCAAGGCCAAGCTCTGCACAAGGGGGGCAAACACAACCTGACCAATCAGCAGTATCTTTTACAAAGCCTACGACAGTCCTGCGGGTGCGGCCTCCAGCTCCAGTTGGGCCTTGTGCAGCGACCAACTGCTCGGCTGCACTGAAAGCTGTTGATGCTGAGTGCAGTGTGATTGGTAGTGGTGCTACTCACGTGCTGATGTCACAATTCTTTGAGAGCTATGATAAAGCATTCCAAGTGCTTCATGCAGAACAACTGCAATATCTCAACAGGGGTGAAGAGGATTCAACAAGGTGACTTTTATAACATAGCTAGAAAATTCCCCTAATCAAATTTAATAGCGCGAGCGTGCCTCATATTCCTATTGAGCACGCTGATGACGTCAATAAACTATTCGTAATTCCTCAAGTTGTTGTGAGCTTAGCAATCCTGAGTCTCCTGAGTGCATCCATAACTCGGCAGTACACGATAAAGCGTTTACCATGTGTTTTATGAGGAAATTTAAGTGAAAACGTTTGAATTTGTTAACCGATAGTAAGAAAAAGTTGCGGCTGCGCCTCGTGCAACTCTTACGCCTCTTTCGTGCTCTCCAAACTTCCCGCGTGCTCAATATCTCGACATACGCACAGCTGCAGCATGAACTAATTGTTAATTAGTCCTTTATAATAGAAAGCTTAAACAATGGCAACGACTACAGTGGCGAAAACTCCTTTTAAAAGGACTGTATCTAAATTTTTTTAAAGCAGTAGAAAATCGTTGTCTTGTGTTCACGTCCTCAACAAAGCGTGAAATTAGGCAGGTTCACCTCGTGGTTGTGCAATGACGGCAAACAAATGTACGAAAAAGTGTGCTACACGTGCAAAGTTGTTGTTTTGCTAATCTAAAACTTCTGCCTTTTTGCCGTTCTTGTTCCTGCCAACGTCGTTGCCTGACCTCCCCAATTATCTTTTTCCTGCTCGACACTTTCCACTGTTTTGTACATCTTGTATGAAGATGGAATAAACTACAGTCGAACCTCCATGTGCGACCACCTGTCGTGAGCGACCACCTCCCTTAAGCGACCACCTATCCAAAACACCATTTTCCTACTCAAAGCCTTATCATAATTCTGTCATAAGCGAGTGCAACCACATTTAGTCCCGACAATTTTATAGTTTTCAATTGTTTTTGACCTCTTGTAATTGTCCACTTGAGGCATGGTGTGGTCGCTTTGTTTGCTGTTTGTACATTGTACCACACCACTCAGAGCATGCAAAGAACTTCAGTGACTACATGGAACCACAAGTATACATAATTTACAAAATGCATCAATGATTCTCTGACAAATGTGCCGGGGTCTTTTCTGGAGATTGATTATGGTAAGCGACCACTAAATCTTCGTATTATGGGTGGTCGCTTGCGGGTGGTTCTACTGTACCAGATGCCCCAAGCTCTTTGTTTGTCATTTCAGATGTAGAAAACCAGATAAATCATCTTAACTAATAATCTGAATATCTATCAGTGATAGATAGATAGAAAGTCTTGGGTTTCTATTGAGTTGTCCATCCACGCACATCTGCGTAGCAGGCGCTTGGAGGTAATGGGCGCAAGAAAGAACGGGGCGCGAGAGGGAGACATGCGAGGAGAGAGGGAGCTCCCTCTTTCCTCGAGTGTCTCCCTTGCGCGTCCCGTTCACAGGCTACAACCACGCCTCCTCTTTTTCAATCCATTCAACTTCTTCAATGTTTTCCCTTTTATTTGTGATTAAGTCTTTTTTTTTCAAATTCTGAAGTACAACGTTCCTTTCCTGCCACAGTTTTCCAAGAATACACTTCTTAACACCTGGACGGTTATTTCCATCTGGAGGAGAATCTGCAGCAAGTAAGTTTAACTACTATTTCATTTATCATTAGGAAAAATCAGTCAAAAAAATTGTGACGCCATGTTTACCAATGTCCTTGTTTAACTCCAAAATATTTGAAACAATTCCTGATTATAAGATTCTGATCAGAAGAGATCTTATGTTGAGACATAAACATACTGTGTTATACACTTAATTTATTTATACAGGGGCACCCAACGGCAATTTTCGGGACAATATCTGTTCGGAAGACGATTTGAGATCTAGAATTTTCGGAGCATTTGTTGTAAAATTTCTTGCTTGCCTGCCTCTCCTAGGATTTTCGAACATCTACAAAATGGTATAATTACCCATTTTTAACGGATTTTGACCCCAAAAAAGGCCACCTAGAATTTTCGGGAGCCTTTTCCTGGCTGAAATTTTCGAGAAGGTAAGTTTTTATCCCTATAATTTTCGGATCACTAGACTTTCAGCTAGGAAATCCTAACAGATGAAAAGTTTTTAGGGGATAAAAATATGCCTATATCTACTGTTTGAATACTAAAATACGTTCAACAATGCTATGTTAAGTGTTTTTGAACTATATCCTCGTTGGGTGCCCCTGTTTATATACTCAATATACTTTTTGTTTTGTTTTTTCTTTCCTGTTTGTTTCTTGTAGCATTTTCTTTCTCCTTCTTCGCCTTCCCCCGCCTCGATTAGATTTTTCTATTTGCCGGGGAACATTTCCTAGTAACCATGAGCGAGGTTTGTGATACATCAATCACTGACATCCACAGTGGTACAAATAGTTCGACTCAGTAAATCGACACTATCGCCTGATGAAGACCGGCAGGGTGCGGTCGAAACGTCGCGATCAATCGTGGGACAAAAGATAAACTAAACCCTTTATACACATTATCCACGATGATTATTATCTTTCATGACAAAGTTGTTGTTTTTGTTGTTGTTGTTGCACTGTTCTACATGTCATTTGTTCCAGCAGCCTGCTACGTTGTACATTTGTACGGTGGAAGTAATCTGTTATTTATAAGATTATCTCATAGCGAATTGTGTCGAAAAAATATATTCAAAGTTAGGTTGTTGTTAAGTCAGGTTTGTTAGACATTTATACGTGCTGTATTAAGAATTAAATTTCAAGAATTATTGTTCCCGGTAGCAAAGTTGAGTGGCTTGGTTGCTACAGTGTAGCTTGAAGAAAATGGTTTTCTTTGTAGATAAAGTGAACGCATTATCAGTATGGTGGTCTGGAGGAACTCAGCTATTTATTTACTCACTTGTGAAGACAGCTAAAGGTGCAAATTTAATTTAATAAATTACACTGCAGAGCCTTCTCCTTCTTATGAAAAAAAAAGAAGAAAAAGCAGTAAAAATGCTCAAATACACGTAGTTTGTAAATCATACGCGTTTATCTCTTAATTTGCGAGCATTTTTCGATTTCTCCTGAAACGGACGCAGAACGCAGTTTTCCATTTCCGAAATTCAAACTGGAGAAGTGTTTACATTAGTTTAAACAGTACCCAGGTTCGGGGATATCAAACTGGGAGCGCTGGACCGAGAAAAAACTACTTAGCCATCTTCGGTTTAGTTTTGCCCTATGAGTTATTTATTGAGACGAGATGACAGAAAGATGACACGTCGAAACTTGTGCTACCCAAACAGGGTCCCCTATCTTGAAGCTGAAAACTAGCCCAAACCGAATCGAATCCAGGCAAAGTTTTTGGGAGAGAAGAGCTCTATTCAAACATAGCGCTGCTCTTACTCTCCTTATTATAATCTTACTTACATATGTCATAAGTACGGGAATGATTTGCTGTCTAAGCACAACAAAATACAAATACGACCTTAACCAACGAGCATATTGACGTCCCGGACGTCAAAAATGGCCCCGGGAAGTTGATCTTTTCTCCCTTCTAGTGCTCGGATTCGGCAACTTCGTTCCAAAGTAAGGAGTTAAACCAAAGGTATTCAGACTCGTTTTGTCAGGTACAGGCGTTCCAGCAGGCGAAACATCAAACTTCCGTTTGCAAGTCCGGGACGTCAAGGGACTCGTTGCTTAAGTTCCCCAAAATAAAACAGTTGACGGACTTGTCACAGTCTAAGAACATTGACATTTAACAGAGATTAGCTAGAAATCCTTGATTCCTCTATTTCTTCAGATCTTGAGCACAAGCCAGACATTTTGTGGCCTAATTCAGAACAGATTCACGTCAGTGTCGTAAGTGAATGCGGTTCTTATATGGCCTTGGGGCTCAAGAATGGAATTGTCGTTGTGTGGAATGTTTACAGAGGTGAGAACTTTGCTCTTAAGTTTACTTCGTTAGAGAGGTTTACGGTCATCTCTCCTCCAAACCATCTCGCCACCAAGAAGTCTACTCGCCACTACATGGTGGAGACTTCGTTGGTGGCGAGATGATTTAGTGAGAACTAAAACGGGCCAGTTAAGGTCGATACACATGAGGGGTTTGCTCCCGGAGCGTGCTCCAGGCTCATTTTGCACGTGTCAGTGCACACGAGGGAGCGTTTTCAAGTTCGCTCAATTTGCCTCGGGAACTTGCTCCTAAATATTTAACCGGTTAAATATCGTGGAGCATTTTGCAGGGTGTAAATTCTGCTCCCGAAGATGAAGTATACCCATGAAGTCGTTGGTACACACGGAGAAGCTTTGCTCCCGGAGCGTGCCCCTGGAGCATGCTCCTGGAGCAAAATCCTTCGTGTGTATCGGCCTTTACACAAAATGCCACTTTGTGCATCGTGCTATTCGTATTAAATAGTAAAACTGAGGACATTTGCCCACAAACCTACTCTTAGTCAGTATTAAAGGAAAAGGCTGTTCCTCCAGCTTTTTCTCTCTTTTGTTTTCATTCGATAATTACTTGTACTGGTCGTTTGACGTGTGTCAATGCGGAGCGCGAGCGTTTGCGGAGTAGGGGTGGGTGGGGTGGACCTCGTTTGAAAAGCTGTGTGACCCCAACAGAACTGCACTGCAAATTCCAAAGATCTGTTATACCTCCAGAGTACTCAAGTACGGATTCAGACTCTCGTGGAGCAATTTCAGTTCATTCTGGTCTAAAACAGACTTATTTTGCTTTTTGAGCTCGCTTTGGAGTCATTTCAATCCTTCACATGTGTCCATATCATCCCTTGAAATGGAATCTCTTTTGCGCATTAATTTAGACGGCAAAATTATGACAGCATTATATTACCTAACCGAGCCGAAATTTAGAGCAAAAGCAGATCTTATGAACTCACAGTGACCCTTGTGTAGCCTTTCTCCGCCCGCTTTTATCCCATCTTGCTCAGTAATAGCCCGCTAACGCTAAACAGGCGATTTTTATGTCCTCTTAGACTGCAAAATAGACGGTTTTGTTTTCTCAAAATCGGTTTTTAGGCGCGAAGCGAGTGTGCGTCACACGCAGGGCTTGTGGGGCGAAAGAATCTCTCCCCAGTCTTGCACTCCATTTTCACCCTCGTATCAGGACTTTTGTTTGACCACTCGCTTGTTCTTGACCTACACGCAAAAATACAGGCTGCTTAGCAGTCTACTGTCGTCTTGACATTTTCGTCTCTTGTTTCAGGAACTCTGTTGCGAGTATGCCCTGTCACGGATAAAGGCAGTATTCTTGCTCTGTGTTTCCTACCGAGTGGCGTGGTCCCTGTTTTGTCAGAAGATGAAGTTTCCTTGACTTTATCAGCTTCATCTCTTGCGAACTTGGTCGTGAGTTGTGACGATGGAACGTTTTGCCTTTTGCAGTGCGGAGTTGCTCACTCGCCTTCTCCGAAACCTCTGGTCGATAAGTAAGTGAAAACAAAACTATACACAAAATCATTGGGGAATTAAGGAAAGGGAAAGGTGCTTAACAGATATGGCGCGCTTTCCAGTCAGCCTTAAATCCGGAAATTTCGGTTAGAAATCAAAAGGAACGGACCATTTTGGCTCTGTCTGATCGGAATATTTGGGACCACCTCTGAAGGCGGTCCATTATAACCGGTCCTACTGGTTTCATTTGTGAGTATAGAACAAGGGACTTCCCTGTTTTGTTGATCCATCCATTCTCAACAATCACAGGTAGATGGCTTTATAATGATATGATGAATGAGTCGGCAGATGATTTTTGTTTTAATTTGGCTTTTGTATTTCACGCGAGTCAAACGCCAGCGTTCGATGACCTAGGTCAGGTCTGTAAAACCGGAATATACCGTTCCATTAGGCACGTGGAGTTTCCGAAATTTCAAACCATAAATACCGAGAAAGAGGTAAGACATACTTTTCGCGCGGAAAGGAGTTTAAAAGCCAATCAGAGGCGCGTTGCTTTTTCACACAAGCGAGTGGATTTTACGCCAAAATTCCCCGCTTTTTTGAATTTATAAGCCGTTAGGTTATTTTCAAAGAAAGGAAAAGAAATTTCACCCGTGAAAAAATGATGAACAGTTCATAAAATGGTATGGCACAGAACAAATTAAAAATTTAAATGTTCATTAAGGGAATAAACAGCCTTTTCAGCTACAACATAAAGGAAAAGTCGAAGAAAGGCGGGGGAGACGTATTAAGTTCGCGGCCGTGCGTAATTGAGACTTTTAATCTGAAGTGAAGGCAAAAAGGCAGTATTTAAATGTTTTCATTTATTATGATAATAAATGTAAACTTCATTCAGTTTGATTAGCAGTCACTTGATTCCCCATTACAGGCATCGCTTAGATGTGCAAGAACGCACTTTTTAACGACTATTTGTCGGATTGATTTTCTCGCTTGCCAGTCAACTCACCAGGCATTTATAAGTGAGATACGATATAAAATTATGAATAAGAAAACGACGGCAAGGGACTCTAAAAAGGGGTTCTTGAAAGCGTGCAAAAACAGTCGTGTCCAGTAGCCCGGGGCTAGTGGATTGTGATTTTTGTTCTTAACTTGCCCGACGGGTAAGTTCTGTTTTTGGGGAAAATTCAAATTACAGAAGGATTGTAATCAATCCTGCTAATCAAAAAGAGTTTTGTGGCTACTTGAAAGACTTGTGGGATAGTAGGTGCTAGCTACAGCTTGCCCCAATGGCATGCTGTAAAACTGACTCTCTTTGCACCCTGCATTAATCTCAATAATGCAGTGCAGGTCGTCCAGGTTTCGTCTCATGCAGGGTAATCAATGACAATTCCACGCTGTTGATTCGGGATTGTACACTTTGGGTTCGGGATTCCTTGTCAGTGAAACTTGGATTCCGGATGCCAATCGTAAGTGGGATTTTGGATTACAAAGCCCAGGATTCTGGATTTCACGAGCAAAAATTTCTCGGATCCCGGAATCCGGATGACCTTACACGGCGCGACAGGTGGTAGGATAAGGATAGCGCTGGACTTTGGTTCTGCCCAGAAGAAATGGTCGTATTAAAAGGGCGGATTAGGGTTTCACTGTATCTATTCTTTTCTTCAGGTCAGCTTTAGACGCAGAGATAATCATAAGTGTTACAACAATGCCTCAAACACCACAAGTGGTATGTGATGTAAAGTTTTCTGCCTTGTTAACGATTTGTAAATAAATAATTTATCTGAAAGAGTAGTCAAGTGTATATTTACACTTGACTTATCAACTTTTTTGTTCTTCCGGTTTTCTAAGTTGATCCGCGCAAATAAACACCCAGCGGAGATGATTATCTCCACCGTTAATCTGCCACTTTTTACCGTGACGGACGTGCTACTAAGCCCTCGTCCAAACGTAACGAGATTTTTTCTCCCTTCTCAAAAAGTGCGCATCCACATGTAATGTATTCAAATCGTTTTTTGCCCATTCACCATTTTTACGTAGACCACAATGCACCTTGTTTACCCCCCCCCCCCCCCCCTCCCCAAAAAAACTTTGCATAACAATTGTCTTGGATTTCTCTTGGGACTACTGTTATACCCTGGAGAAATTAAAAACAATGGTTATGCAGAATTCTGTGGGGTAACAATGTGAATTATGGTCTATGTGAAAGTAGTGAATCCACATGAAAACGCTAAAAGGACATTAGCGTCCCTAGCAGAGCATGCTCTGTATGATGTATCACATCGTAGTAGTCAAAAACCTCTGTTTTAGTCCGTCCACACGAAAACGTCAATCAGCCGTTTTCAAAAATTTCCACTCCGGCCACCTTTTTCAAAACCTACGTTTTTGGTGCCCGAAACCTCCGTTTCAGGAGTCGACGGAAGGCTAAAACGGAGAAAAAAATTCCGTTTTTATCCTGATACGTATGGACGGGGGTTAATATTAGCGTTCATTCTATGTTAGATTGTCGCTGTCAAGAAGAGCGGTGGCGTTACCTTATATGATGTTGTCAGTGGTACGGCCATTTGTCACGTGAAACTACCTGATGCTTTCTGCCTCTCGCCCCAGCTTCCCTGCATCTGTGCTGACGGTAAAATCCTGGTTTTGATTGGTGCCCAACTAGACGACGAAAATGAAGATTCTTTGGACAAAGAGGTGAGATGATTATCAAACGAATATGTAGGTTTGGGAAAGCTTAATGACAAATTTCCCGTCAAAAAGGTGTGTGGACTCATTAGGTGAGCGCCCAAGCGCTTTGTAAAGTTAATGTTAATGATTTCAAATTCTTGTTGTGATGTAAGGAAATGAATAAGGAATGCATTGACTGTTATTTAACATTTAACCTTTGTTGCTTATTCGCTGTCCGATTATAAATTCTTATGCTTTGACTTGATAAACTAGAAATATAAAGTGGTCGCTGCAAATTCAAACTAAAATGCAATAAAATACAGCTCAAAGTCGATAACTTCGACTGCTGAATTTTTTTTATTAGTGCCAACTTACACCCGCCTGCTTTGAAAGAGAATTGTTTTCTATACTATGATTGACGCCAGTAACGATTTAATGGGCATATGGTTCATCGCTCATTGTTTAATGTCTTGCCGATACCATCTGGTAATAAATGCATTTGAAGAAAAGAAAGGAAATAAATTTATATTTACTTTGCTCAATAGTTTTCAGAAGTGATCAGAATGTAGACTGCGAGCAGTCTCTCTTTTTCCTCAGATTTAGTAAGGGGAGTGCACGCGCGGCGAGCGTTGAGCGGCGAAGCCGCGAGACGCGAGACGCGAGACGCGAGAAAAGAGGGCGGCAGCCCGAGAAGAAAAAGTTAGAGTGCCTCTCCTGTCTCGCGCCTTCAGTCACGCGCGTGGTCATTTGCGTGTCTCGGGCGCTTTGCTCGACGGAGCAAGAAAAAAGAGAGACTGCTCGTAGTCTTATCAGAATGCGCCTGCTGCTTTCTGTTCTCATTCGCGTAAAAGCCGCTGCATGACGATTTAATCAACTAGATAACTCTGTGCTCCCTCGTAAGGCACTCTATTGGCCCTATTTGGTCCCCAGGGAAATTCTCCAGGCTTGTTATGCGCCCTTGCAAAAGTTAAAAATTAAAAAAAAGAGCAAGTTGATGCCAGGCAGCGAAATTAACTTTGTAGTCAGGGCCCGAGCAGCTGATTTTAAAGTGCGGGGGCCGGTGACCACCTCGTTTGAATTGGGGCGAGGCGGGGAGAGGCAAATTTGGCTGTTCTCTCTTTGTGGCTGTTTAGAACTGTCAGATTGCTGAACCTTTCTTGATTCATATTATGGAGCGGAGTCATGTTTATAAATTTGAGGCGGCTGAAAAGTACCTTTTTCCTGCTGAGCCTGATTGCACACGCAGCATCCACCAGTAGAAGTTTGCAGATCATGATATTACACTGTAGGTTCCTGTAACCCCTTCATTTTGTCTAGTATATCATCGAAATGCACCAGAGACCACATCATTCGTCGATATAATTCGTTTTAAGAAACCATAGTTCCGTGGAGTAGTCTTCAGATTTAATCGAGAACCTTAATAAAAAAGACTCCATAATTCTGCATTGTTGCAAACAGTTTGCTACAGCCTCTGTTTGCTACAGATTTCGCCTGCTACTAGTTCCACCCAACATAACAAACAAGGAAGTAGTGCTGACGCTTCGTAAGAAAATCAGCTTAGCAACTTCGCATAGAATTCAGGAGAGCAGGACGGCTGCCGTAGACAGCTGTTTCGTTCTCGTGGTAGAACGCGTCAATACAGTTTAGCAAGAGGCGATTGCGCAAGAGATCGTATCTACTAAAATATATAACCAACAAGCCAAAATGCTTTTTTATATTGCAGCTGATAAGAATTTTCGTATGCGATCTTTTCCCCACTTCATTGTTTTTTCTAATTTAATATTCTACCACTTCAGAGTATCTGGAGAGAGTTTCCAAAGTATACCGTATTTACATTTGTTGAAGAAATTAGGCGTTTCTTTTTTGTTTTTATTAGAAGGTTTTTTAAAAGTGACTTCTCTTTTTGTTTCCTTGCTGCTTTGTCTAAGTTTAAACTGCATGACGTAACTTACATTTAAGGTTTGGTTGAAATGAAAAGGTTGATTCGTGGGCGATAAGTTTCTTTGAATCGAAACTCTTATCATGACGTCACTCTTGATTTACCGAATGGCACGAAATTTTTGCGGGAGTCTATTTTTGCGGATTAGCGATTTTTTGTGTTTTGTGGGAACTAATTTTTGCGATTAGGACAGATTGGTTTTTCTCGCTGGGAATTAATTTTTGCGATTTTCAGAAAGTACCCAGTAACCAGCATTGATAATATTTTCGTTTTTATTGAGTACGTGCAATAGAAGTACATATTTTCAAACAGTAAAGCAGTATTTCGTTGTATACCGTTTTGTTTCTGAATGAAAGAGACAAGTTGTGATTGAACAGACATGATTCTTAGTACTGTATTTTTGTGTAGCGAATTCAAGTTAGAGAATATTTACTCTGGAGTAATTTTTTGCGGGAAAAATGTTTGAGGTAATTTCTATTTGCCGGAACTTATTTTTGCGGATCGCTGGAAAAATCGCAAGAATCGCAAACTGAAAATTAGAACCCGCAAAAATTTCGTGCCACACGGTACTTTTGCTGTATATCTCAACTGTGTCAAGAGATTCCAGCTCTTATTTGTGTTTCCTCCAATGTTAACAGCTTTAGGCCCGTTTTTTCTTTACATATATACGATGGTTGGTAATTTTTTGTAGCTTTTGTGAAGCTCTCTGTGGATGAAACAGGTGTGTTTTCCGGGTGACATTATTAAGCAAATAGACTGTGTGCACAGATAAGCCAATTTTATATTATGTGGAAAACGTGAGCCATTTAGAGTACTGGCAGTCAAAAATGATGGATTTTAGCTTCGAAGAAAAATAAACAAAATTTTTATGATGAGAACATTTAACTCTGAGGGCATATCGTTTCCCTTCGCTTCAGTTCGTCCACACTATAAGTTGACATAGCGTGAAAACGAAAAAAGAAATGAAAAATACATCAGCTACTACAGATTCACACGTTGAGTCCCCTTTGCAAACAGAGGAAGCCCTTTCTCAGGCACAAGTCATCGCTTGGAGTTGTACTCTTACTTGGGAAGCTGCTTTCATTACTTTGGGAAACTTGCTCACAATTGTTATCTTTGCATTTACCAAGAAGATTCGCGTCAAGAAAAGTTTATATCTTGTTATAAATATGGCGTTTGCTGATCTAGCGTTGGGAAGTGTGTGTCTTCCTATATCTGTTTTTATCATTGTGACTCGACACCAGTTGACGATAGAAAGATCTGCGTTTTTTCTCAAAATCATTATTGTAGTTTTTGCGCAAGTCTCATATATTACCGCTGCTTTGATATCTGCTGAGAGATTCTACGCCATCTATTGGCCGCTGAAGCACCGCACACTTTCTGCGCGAGCGTACAGGCTTGTTATTTTGACGCCGTGGATTTTGAGTATCCTTGGTTCTATTTTTACAGTTTTTCTCCTGCACTTCGTAAGCGTAGTGGATTTATTTTTTGGGCTATGTTTATACGGCTTGTCTTTTGTTCTAACTATCTGTGGCCTGAACATCGGTATTTGGAGAAAATTTCAACAAAAAACTGTTCCTCATTTGCACAACAGAGCCTTACAAAACAAGCGCTTAACAAAGGCTTTGATGTTTGTTTCTCTTATGTCTTTGATTTCTTGGCTGCCTCCAATCGTTTGGAACTTTGCAGACTTTCTTAAATACAAGATGTCTGACAACATCTTCCTTGTAACTTTTTTTATGTATTTTTCCAACTCCTTAATCAATCCTGTCGTATACGCATTACGAATTCCCGAGTTTAAACAAGCCTTGAATCAGTGTTGTTTCGCAAGGAAGAAAATGAGGCGAAGCCAAGAAAATTTAAAAGGAAACGAGATGGCTGCCGATTTGACGCTGGTGATGCACCGAAGAACATTGACTACAGATCACAATAATTTACAGCTCACTTTTAAACAGGAAATTGTAGATAATGACTTGTAATCAACCTTGTAACTTTTCTGTCCGTAAAGGTTCGCCCTCCCTCGGTTTTCCATGAGTTTTTAGGACAGACTAAGTTTAGATCGAAATAAAGAGCTCTGTCTTTGTTTGTCTGAATCTTGATTTATAACTCATCTTTGTAAATCGGGGTATTAGAATTATCATCGAAGCTCTTATAAACTACAGAGCTTGTTTTATTGAAAGAGTGCTCAATAAAAAGTAGCCAATTCAGGTTACTGAAGCTTGAGAACCCCATGGCGACATTTTGCATAGGAGCTGTCCCAAACGATGCCCCGTGCATTAAAATAGGTTTGATAACTTCGTTGTAAGTTTATCTTTCTTGCCTTTGTAGCAAGGGAATCACGTGCTTAAGGAGACCTAATGTAGGTGTTTGAATATTTCTTTTAGCAAAGTTCGTCAATATGTGAGTCATAAGCCATATTCCAGTCAAGAGTTACACCTAAAAGTTTTTGCGAAGGGTCTTATTTACTGTAGGTACTGGGTCAGCGACTAAATATCCGAAAAGTGTGCAGTAGCTGTTAATCTTGCATCGTCTGCGAAAATATCAACAGTAGATCTTGATTGCCAAAGTGGAGAGCAGGAAGAGAACAGGTCCTAAAACAGAACCCTGTGGCACGCCTTGTTTTATAGTTTGAGGGTCTTGTCTAATTCTTCCTTGTAATCTGCGTCAGTGAAATACTGTAATTGCCTTTGACGTAGAGGAGTATGCCTCCATAGCCTGTGTACAGTCACCTCCTCCCATAGGGAAGAGGGACGTGTTCCTTAACAATTTACGACAGTTTTTAATGGTATAGACGGGCCAACACCACTCTTGTACGCACGTACGCAATTATTCCCCGCCTCTTACTAGAATGTCTCCCTTTGTTGGTACTCTTTTCTTTATCACGGGTATATTATACTTTGGAAGATTCTTACTTTTTACTAGTAAGTAAATGCTAGTTGTCTCCCCTCGCAATACATTGGTGATCATGAGGCCGGTCACTTTACTGTATATCGATTTCCGCTTGGTTTCACTCTAAATTAAGAGGCACCTTAGATATATCTAAGCAACAATCTTCATTCTGCACTTGACTTTAAATGAAATATACAAAGGTAAAATAACCCTATTTGTCTGTTAAAAGCATTTGCAAAGCGCTCAAGTTTTTGTTTGTTTTCAGACGGCGGTACCTTTTTCCTTTCCTCTGGAAAATTTTCCTACGCTGAACAAATACTGGAAAAAAGAAATCACTGACCTGTTATCATACAAAAGCAACAGCACTATTGATGCACGGATACAGTCACTGATACAGGACAGGTACTAAGTATTGGGTAATAAAACGGATCAATTTAGGTTTGTTGGAAACTGTCCTTCTACTCCTCCCCTAACTCAACGTTAGCATTTGCGGCTTACTTGGGGCAAAATGTTGGGTTAGGGGAGGGGTAGGTAAGCCGTTTCCCAGAAACCTAAATCGTTCCATCAGTGAGTACCGTGAACTGTTGAATTGCCACTGACATAAGGAAGTCAGTGTCTGTGCGAAGCGGCCATGTTTGAGGAGTAAACAATAAAAAATATTTGCTTAAAAATGAAAATTTTATCCCAAAGGGAAAGCATTTTATTATTTTACTCCTTCAACATGGCCGCCGCGAACTTACCCTATAACCACTTCTAAGACTGTTATCACTAAGTTGGCAAGTACAGTGGAACCCCGTTAATACGGTTACCAATGGGCCAAAACAAACTGGCCGTATTAACGGGTGACCATATTAATGAGGGTTTTTTTTACAAGAAAATGTATGGCCGTTTTGCTGGGCGGATAAAAAAAGTGGCCGTATTACCGAGGTAGCCGTAAGGCGGGGTTTCACTGAAAGACCAATGTTTCTTTTTTCTGGACTGATAGGACTATAACTAATAAAAGACTGGGTCTCTAGCTTGACCTTAGGTGCAACGGTGCAAAAACTCTTTCCTTAATAGTTATAAGACATGTCTTCTATAAAAACGAGGTCAGAAATACGTCATCTTCAGTTGCCGATGGAAATCTTAGGCGGATATTAGCCCCTGAAAAAAGCAACGGGGGCGGGGGGTGGGGTGGGGGCTATCCACTAGCGCCAAGAGCAAAACTTCGGCCCCAAAGAGTCAGGGATAGAAACACTTCAGTAGGGACTGCATTCTGCGAACAAGGGTATCGATTTTCATTGCATCGTTTTGGCTCTAGGAAGGATCGGAGATGATTCTTAACATGAGGTGTAACTGTGATAAACCTTTTGCTTTTTTTGTATATTTATAATGCTGGAATGTTAAAATCCGCTTTTGTCTACTTTTATCCTATTAAAAGACTTGCGAGTCAAGAGAGTAGACAGGTGCGACTGGAAAAGCGCTGGTCACAGTATCAAACTGAACTTCACAACATTCAGAACACCAAGATGAGAAGAAACCATTCAACATGGCTGACTGCTAAAACTGTGAGTAAATGTTTTTTTTTTTTTTACCTTTTTACCCAAATATTAAAATCAAAATTTTCATTTGCTCCCCCTATACATTTTCAATAGAACTAGTAGGAAGAAGTTATCAAAATGTCAATCAAATTCATCGACCCATTAATTTTCGGTACCACTCTGTGTAACAAAGCGGTGATATTACAAGGAGAAATTTGATTCTGATCTCTCTTGGAGCTTAAAGGGTTATAAACTCAGCGTCTTACTTGTTCCCTGAATGCTACGTTAATTCTCGTTTTATTTTTTCTAATTTATCCTAAATTCAGTACCTTAATTAATTGCTTCGTTATTATTCTTGTGTTTCAAGCACATATAGTGCTTTTGACTTCTAGCAATTGCCATTATACTTTTGTCTATTGATGTGTTATAATTTGTGGCAGTTTTCCTACGTCCGTGAAAAAATAGACTTTTCTTACTCTTTTATATACATGTATTTTGCAGAATGTGTTCACCTAACCCGAAATGAACGACAAATAATGATATGCTGCATTGAAATCACTTCATTGATCAAACCCTCTTCGCTTGAGCAAACTCATACGTGCCAAATGAATATCTTCTACGTCAAGTTAAGATTTGGTGCAAGTACAATATGGAAAGAAAATCGTGTGGACAAAAAAAGAAAACAAAGTTTTATGTAATGTATTATGCTAAATAGTTTTCGGAACTGATCAGAATACTCATGCCTCTTTCCTTGCATCATAACAAACAAAGAAACAATGATGTTGCTACGTAGAAAATTAAGAAACGGTCCAGATAAGAACGATAGCAACAACGGCAACGAACATGTTGGAATGCAAAAAAGGTGCTAGCTTTTCTATTGTCTGTATTTACGTCTGATTGGCTTAAACAGCAAAAGTTAACAAAACTTCATAAAGCGGTACATATATTCATCCTTACTTTCCAAACATCTTCCATATAACAAAATCTGGTCTCAGTTTGAATAACAAAGAAATCCTATGTGGGGAACATGTAAAATTATAAACTTTTCTTGGCTATTGTTTTCAACTCTTGTGATTGGTCAAAATCTTTTAACACAAAAAAACACCCTTTCAAAGTGGAGTGTAAGTGCATTTTATTGGGTAAACGGCCTTCATGTAGGTTTATGCATTCTCTGTGTAAAAATGAGAACATTCCTATGTGGCAAAAGCACCGTTGCCGCATAACAAAAGAAATTACTATCCACCTTACCTGGATCATTACTTAACTTCTCGAGGCATCAACATTTCATACGATAGTGCTCAGCAGAGTAGGGTTACAGCTGTAGACAGCTGTTTCGTTCTTATTAAAACTCAGTACGGCATAGCTGGAAGCTACTGCACAACAAATCTGATTTCTTCAATTTTTTAACAATTATTGGCCGAAGTAGAGGTAAATATCCACCACTAGCAACCGACACTGAGGTGAATAATTGTTTTAGTATATACCACACAAGCTTATTAACTAGAAAAGCCAAAAGTAATTTACTTTTGTTAAATGCTCGGAAAATTTAAATCTTGCGCGCCGCGTAATGTATTGACGCTGACAATGTCACGAAATGAACGAAATGAAGGACTTGAAGGACTCCAGATCCGGAGTTCCAGGTGTTGACCGATCGGCCACAAACGTCTCGCCTCGAAACCCTGTAATCAAAGAAAAAAAGCGTAGTTCAAGTTTTTAATGTCTCGGTAGTGGATAGTATTTGTCAGGTTAATCACCCGAGCTTAAACCAATCAGCGCTGGGGAACTAAAAGCACTATTTACTTGTGTGGTGTATACTAAATGTAAATAACATGTAATAGTACAAGCTAAGGCTGATGCTACAAATTTGTGTTTGTGGCGATGGTAATTTTGTTATAGTTTTGAATACTTATTGTAAACCGGTGTGAATTAATCTTTTTCCGGAAATTGTTTGTTGTGGATGATATTACTGAGCAAATAGATTGCATTTACAGAAAAGCCATTTTCACATCACTATTCAAATATGATGGATAAAGCCTTCGATAAAAAACTACAACATTTGGTATTGTTTCTCTTTTAAGTAACGTTCGTAGAAAACGAAGCAATGGCGATTATATCAGTTACGACGAACTCACACAATACGTCCCTTACAGCTACCAGGGAAATCGTTTCGAAGGCACAAGCCATCACTTGGAGTTTTGCTCTTGCGTCGGAAGCTGTTGTTATTGTCGTTGGAAACTTGCTCACTATTGTACTCTTTGCATCTAACAAAAAGCTTCGAACTAAGAAAAGTTTATATCTTGTTCTGAATATGGCGTTTGCTGATCTGGTGCTTGGAGGTGTGTGTCTTCCTACATCTGTTTATGTTCTTGGTACTCGTAACCGGTTATCGCAAGAACTTACAACTCCAACCAGTTTTTTAAAAATTGTCGTTACGGTTTTCTCGCAAGCCTCACTCATTACCGCTGCTTTGATATCAGCTGAGAGATTTTACGCCATCTATTGGCCGCTGAAGCACCGAACACTTTCTGCGCGAGCATACAAGCTGGTTATTTTGACGGTGTGGATTGTAGCAACTCTTTTTCATACGGTTTATCTTCTGCCATTCTTCACCCCTCTAGCTGTGTATACGTTCGTATCTTTCTACGCTTTGTTTCTAGTTCTCACAATTTGTGGTTTTAACATCGGTATCTGGCGAAAATGCCAGCAAAAAACTACTTCTCATCACCAAAACAGAGCCTTACAAAATCAGCGCCTGACAAAGGCGTTATTATTAGTATCTATTTCGACTTCGTGTTCTTGGTTCCCGACGATTATTTACAATTTGATAAGTATTTTTGGATACAAAATGTCTGAAAACATTTTCCTCCTAACTTTGTTTATACATTTTACCAGCTCGTTTATCAATCCAATAGTGTACGCTTTGAGAATTCCTGAATCTAGGCAATCTTTAGATTTCTTCTGTTTTAGAAGGCAGGAAGTAATGCACAGCAAAGGAAATACAAGAAGAGCTGATATCGCATCCAATCACAACAAGGTACAGCTCACTTTCGAACGGGAAATTGTGGAGGATACAAAATTGTGATCATCCCGTGGAAGCTCATCTAGCTGACGATAAACTTTCGAGAAAAATAGCGATAATCATTGAAACGCTCAACTTCACAACCAAAAAGTTGTTTGAAATTGGTAGAATGTAAACAGAAAACTCTATCTTTGAAATATTCTTCTTAAATCCATTTAGAGAACTCAGAACTTGGAGACCGAATTTCATTAGTACTACCCAACGTTCTTTCTATGTTGTTCGTTAACTAAAGGTGATTACACGAGACGATTCGCAACGACGATTTTTAGCGCAATATGAAAAAACAGCGTTAACATTGTTGCGACATTGTTTCAAAGAGTTACAACATTGTTCCAACACTGCAACGCTGTGTTGCGCAAAAAAACGTCGTTGCGAATCGTCCTGTGTAACATCACCTTAAGAAAGGTGGTAATATAGCGATTGCTTAAAGCGAACTCGGCCTGGTGGCTTTGAAACAGTTAAACTAATATATAGATTTAGCCAGGGCTAAAAGCGAGGCTACCATTATATATTTATAATTTAAATCAAACAATAAACTTGTATTCCACAATTCAGTTAACTTTAGAGCACATAGCACATTCATGTGACTTTTGAGGGAAAGGCTAAGTGATTTTAGAGAAAAATAATTTGCAAACAGCCCAAGAGTGAACAAAATCTTACATCGAGTTGATAACCTCATATGTACACCCAAAAAATAGCAATCATCTTCGATCACATTCACCGTAAGATTAATTAGGCCTGGAAAAAAAAATCATGTTGAATTTTTTTGCGTTCGACAAGTTTACTTTACAAAATCTTGCCAACAAATCTGGTTGCGTGTAAACAACCCTTTTATACCATTTATACATCACATCTGAGGTGAAACAGTACTATGAGGTACTGTTTTTATCATACAGACCTCGGACAGAATTCAGTATTTCACAGTTTTGCAAGAGAAATTGCACTCATTCAATATTCAGGACGATCGAAGCACGCGTGGGCTTTTAGCTAAACCGTTAAAAAAATGACCAAAATCACGTATACAGCCAGCCGGTTCTCACTTTTGCAGTGCGAGCTGTAGCGAATGTTTGAACCAACATACTAGAGTTAAGCTCCAACACAATAAAGAAATTATTATGTTTATTTTTTATTTAATGGTTTTATCGATCTGTAATCTTTAAAAGCGTTTGATACGCGCGGCATTTTGAGTACTCCTGCAAGCGATGTTCACTGAACGACTGAAAACAAACGGCACAGCGATTAAAATTACAAGAGAGACTACCAGCAATCAATAAAGGAAATATAATTCGGCGAAACATATACAGAGACAACATTTTTCATTCACGAAGACAAATATTATTAAAGTGTCTCTAAAAATCCTGAGTCTTCAAGCTTACAGCGTAAGTTTATGTTTTAAGCCGGCTTCCCGGTATTTACTTTTTTCACAGATGAACTCGAGGCAAGAAAATCGCTCAAAGCTTTCTTTTACTGCCAGTCAATTATAACTAAATGTTCTATGGAACGTTTTCTTTATATCTGCGGTGAGAAAATGTCTAAAGACTTTTTAAAGTTGTGTAAGCTTATATCAAGTTTACCTGATTCATGGTCAGATCAAATTGTCTCAAATCTTACAAACGTGCATAAACTACATAGCCGCATAAACTACGCTCGACTTCTTTAAATTAGATATAAAAAACAAACATCAAACACAATAATTACTGGGGCTTACCATTCGAGATGCAGCTCCTCAAAGGTATCAAGGAAGGCCACTATCGCTTCAGAGTTTTCAGCCTCTACGCGCATCAAGCAAGGTGAAAAACAAAAACGTTGACACCCGAATCGGATTCCCGACTTTGACAAGTGATGTATTAATTTCTGAACCAAAAACCAACTAGCCATGAATAACAGAAGGCTCCTGATAGCAGCTAAATTTCATTTTGTGCATCCAGTGGAAAAAGACAGTTAAAAACATCACAAGTTGACACAAAACTCTCTCAGCTTCAGCTGTCAAAGTAAACAAGATTCAAAATGCTGCATAAATTTTCCGCATGAGCTCACCTGTCACATTTTGACCAATCAGAGCTTTAAAAATGGATGTAGAGCGTGACCAACGCGTGACCATGGTGAGCAAAGTCAAAAGCAACTGTCTTGCCTGTAATAGCTGGCTGAATTTTCGGGTCCGAGGTCAGTTTTAAATCAAAATTTTAATTGTGCGGCCCAAAAACAAAACATATTTCATATGAATGAAAAAAAATCAAACTTGAGCCTGCGATCATTTGAAAACTAGTAACTTGTCAGCGGATAACTTCAAAAAAATACTTGACCTCGATGGGTTAACACCTGAGCCCGCGATACGGTCAAGTGATACTGGTCAGCGGATACCCTGTTTTGACAGCTGTCAATTGATCAAAACATTGATGTCTAATGGATGTGTACATTATCAGTTTTCCTGTGCTCTCAAACTACCTAGAAAGTATGAGATTGAACATTGATCGCGATCTAGTAAAACAACTGGTCAGCGGACAGCTTCCAAATAACTCACGTCACCTTGATGAGTTGACACATGAGCCCCCGATATGGCAATGTGATACTGGTCAGTGGCTATCTTGTTTTGACAGCTGTCAATTGACCATATCGTGAATGGCCAACGTAAAAGATGTGGATTTGCTAAGACACGCCTGAGACACCCCTCCCTTCCTTTTGATAGTCTCCCCTACCCTACCCGTACAATCTGTACACGCGTACGTACGTACGTACGAACGTACGCTCGGTCAGTCACGTGACAACCAAAAGAAAAGAGGTTGACCATATTCCATGAGTATGGGGCTCTGTCCCACGCGCGCTTCGCGCGCGAGGGAGCCCCGCTATGATCCCTGCCAAACTGGTTCGCACGTAATCTTGCTAGCACCCGCAACTTATGCGTGTGGAAAGAGTAAAGGAACTAACGCTTTATGTATTTTGCTAAATAGTTTTAAATTCATGACAACTGTCCTTAAAATGGGCAACGTAAACGTGCAACTGGTTTTGCAACATTGTTGCAAAACGAGTTCAATAGCGATGTTCGGATTTTACCCACCACATTAAACCTGTCTTGCAATAAATCAGGTTATTGGAAGTTGCGTAAATACCGACTTCTGACTGGAGAAAATTTCGGGGGAGTCACGCCATACACTGGTGTGGAGTTACGTCACCTGCTACAAAACAAGTTTGCCTTGGGCTGGTAAAACGTGTAACATGACTGTACTTTTTTTGTGGCAGAATTCTTTCTTCCTGGAACAACTAGTCGCAATTTGCAAAAACCTGATGTGAATGTGGGTAGTAAAACGTGCAACATCGCTTTTAAGTTCGTTTGGCATCAATGTTGCCAAACAAGATGCACGTTTTTATTGCCCGTGTTACCGTAGCTTTAACGCAGTAAGCAAAGCAGCTAGGCTGAAGCTACGTAGAAAATTTGCCTTTGCTCGACAACCCAGCGTCTTTTGAGGAAGGAAGAGATAGGACCTTGCGAACGAGGCTGAACTGTGGATAGCTGGGACAGCTGTTTCGTACGAACAGCATTCAAGTTCCCAGAGCCAATCGGCTTGATTTGGCCAAGAAACGACGGACTCTGGGGACGAGAATGTACGATCACATGAGCAGCGCGGCATATCTGTCGTTGATTGAATTCTTTGGCAAAAATTTGTCTGCAAATAATGATCCCGAAAAGCAAAAACTATTAAACGATTGCGGAAAAGTCCATCGAATATTGAAGTAAGTGAGTGAGATCCAAAGTTAAAACGACGAAGCAGACGCAACTTTGTAACTAACAAATTAGTTTGCAAAAAATGACGCGAGGTTGTTAAAAATAATCGTTGAGGGTAAAAGGCGGATTGAGTTGGCGGAATGGCATGTGGCACGGCTTGCAGAATGACTTAATTATGCGGAATGTAAAATATGGAAAACGGCGCAAAGAAATAAATTAAACTGAAAAACATGTGCGCGTCTTCGCCGCGCCTTTTTTTGGCGCCAATTTGAGGAGCAACTTTTTTCAGGCTGGTCCATTTATTACTGCTGGTTTAGACCAACAAGGCAGAGTAGAAAGTAGTGATAAGCTTTACTGCATTTGTGTCTATGCAATACTTAATTGATACTTAATTTATTTTTTTTGCTTTCGACAATACTTTCTCTCTTTCTGCCCACCATTATAGTAAAGTCAAATGTCAAAACGCTAGAGGGAAAAGAACGCTTGTTGAACGTGAGGTCCGGTTAGCTACAATTCCAGGGATTATTAATTAATACGGTGGACGGATCAGATCGTATTTGAGACCAAGAGAGGATAAAGGGGACAGAGAAGGCATCCCTCATACACACCCTATTCCATAGGTAATTCGTCTCGAGTTATTTTTAAGACCACAGATCCCCAGGGGGATTAGACAACAGCCAATCGCAGAGCACGAATGTGTTCCGCGTGGATGACCCACGCTCAGAGCCACGCGTCCTTCACGAATTGACGCTAAAAAAATAGCGGAAGACGCGGAGAGCGATATTGCTATTCGTTTTGTCGACAAAAACGACTAAAGAGAGTCGTAAGGTAGTAAGGTAGAACAGGTTACCGAGGCCAAAGTACTCGGAGTAACATTCGACCACACCCTCTCCTGGGATGGGCACGTCGAGACCCTGTGTAAAAAACTCAACAG